ATCTATTAATTTGCCTGCTCTTTCTTTAAGAGATTGCAAATCTGAGGTCACTTCCTTCTGTTTTTCTTCCCAGGCACACATAGAAAAAGAAAGAGAAGCACATGCTCTTGTACTATCATTCTAGTACAAGGCAGTTAGCTGAGTGCTAGGCTTTGGCTATCCCTATAATGAATTTCCAGTAAATAAATATCCTTTCTGTTATAGTTATAAAACCTGCTTTGCTAATAAGTGCTTAGGTCAAATTCCCACTCGGGAATGTTCAAATGCAGAAACAGATGCTTCAATCTCCCAATGCTTATGGGTTTCAGCAGCTGAAGAGATTCCACAAGGAGAGAGAAAGGGTGAATCTCTTGAGTAGCTAAAAAAAGATGGGAGGGTAAGGTTGGAATCGGGAAAGTTTCAGACCATGGAGACTCTGGAAGGACCAGAATATCCTTCTAGATGAAAATGGCCCTGAAGTTTTAAAGAATCACCTTTGTGCTAGACAAGGAGAAGCCCACAGAAGCTCAGGAATACTCACATACTCATGCAGTCTGCTTCAATCTCCAACACTCCTGACCTGCATAAACTTGCTGAAGCCATCTTGAGACTCCAAATATTAGTCCAAATAATTAAAGTCCTACGCTAGATATCTAACTGACAGAGAAGTATGAAGTGGCCAAGTATTGTACATATCACCAAATCCCAAGACTATGAGAGAACAAAGATGTGCATGTACTAATGTAATTTTAAATAGAAATATGTTCATCTTACCATTGTGGAAATACTATGATTAAATGACCTGTATGCCTGTTAACATAGTGGAGAAGACTGACAATTAGCTATCCAAATGCTAAGTGTTGATTGGCAGCTTCAAGATCCCTGCTCTCCTTTCCATTCTTTTATATTTAATATGTAGTTGCAATGAATAGCTCTTCAGAGACTGCATTGAGAGTGCCTGTTTTCTTCAAGTTCTACACATGACCATCTAGAGGAGAATATTATTTATTTTATTTACTTATATTTAAGATTTGGTCACCACCCATCTAATGAGGAAGTGACTCTGGGCAGTTTACAATAAAATTAGATTATCTTCTAATCACACATGAATAGACCCCTACCAGACCTAAGAAAGCAGAGGACACAATGGGTACAACCAATTCATTTCCTGAGAGATAGTCTCAGCTATACTAAACTGCAGAAACTACAAGACTGAAAAATTCTGATGAACTCTCACCTCCCAGCCATAACAAAGTGCTTTTATGCCTCCATTTTCTCCACCAAGCATAGGGATGTGCAAGAGCAGACAGGAGTCCCACTCCATGCAGCTAGATACTTTGCTGCTGCAAACTTTCAAAATAAGCAGGTACAGTTAGAGCTTATTTAAAAGCCAAAGAAAGCAATTGTGAAGGTAGTATGTGGGCAGCAATTATTTGTGTCTTTGCTGTTACTTAACTCCCATTCAAGCTCGCATCTACTTATACAGACCTAATCATCTCTGCAGAAATTACATTTTTGCCTAGAATCAATCTACCCTCCAGTCTGACCCCAGAACTTTAGAAGCAGAGTCAGCACCCACATTTGGAACGTCCCTAGCCCCTTCCTAGTTCCAGACTTCATTTGTAGATTATACATCTGGTTAACACACCACTAAAGTCCACTTTGGACTGCCAGCTAGCATGAAATTAAACAAACTGGGTCACAATAACCAGGTTAAACCAAATTATTTGGCAAAAACCTATGATACCATAGACAAATACTGTATGTTCCCCTAAATATACTAAGAGTACATCTGCTGAGAATAAGGTTACAGGAAAAGTTTGAGTATGTGACTAACTGTGTGCTGGGAATCAGAAACAAATCTAGAGAATCAACAGAAACAGTCCCATGCTTTGGCACTGTAGCCATAACAGACTTCATTACAGGATACCATCTAGATCAGTAATTTTCAAACTTGGCAACTTTAAGAAATGTGGACTTCAACTCCCAGAATTCCCCAGCCAGTTAAGAAACAGAAATTGGAATAATTTAAAATGGACAAGTAAGCTTACTAAAAACTTTTAGAATAGATTTTAGTAACTAGAATAACTTTTGGATGAAAAATAGAAAAAATAGAAAAATATTTACATTTCATGTAAATGAGCCAGTCATACAAGATCTTATAAAAAATTAATATATTCAGTACAAAAACAATTTCACAATACAGATGTGCTTAAGCAGCATACACAATCCCACAGAGTCAACATGTTTCTGGGATGTCAGCATTCATTGATCCTCAGCCCATTATGCAGGTAATTGTATTAGTAGATTTTCAAAACAACAGTTCAAGCTGTCAAGCTTCAGACCAGACACAACAATAAATCTCAACTCTACAGACATTTAACTTCATACTCAGGCATGGCTAAATTAATTGCTTCACTGCGGGCAAGAATAAGGCCATACAGTATATGTATCATATTTATTTTTAGTTTACATATTACATTTTTTACCACCCATCTCATTGAAACGACTCTGGGCGGTTTACAAAGCAGTTAAAATCAATTAAAATTACAATATACAATAATCTTAAATAAATAGATAATAAATAGATCCAAGGATATCCAGAAAGCATTCAGCACAAGGTATGAGTAGCTGCCTGATGGTGGAAGCATGAATTGAGATACTATAAGTGAACTTAGCCATATAAAAATGGTCAGACCAGCTGTCTTGCTGGTAGATTACATAGCAACAAAGGTATTATTCTAAGGTGGCATCTATTATCTCCGTTTCATTATCCAAGAACAGAGGAAAGGTGGAGCTTTAGAGGAAAGTTGACACCGAACTTTCTAAAACATGGCATGAATCTGAGCATTTATTAGAAATTAGATAATGAAACAAATCATCGTTCTAAAAAAACTTGATGAAAGAATAAAACAGCTGTTTCATGGGCACAGTAGAAGTCATGACAAGGGAATGAAGTGGACTATCTTAGAGAAGAGATTAATTACCACCAGAACAGTAACCAGGCCTTGATACTATACGTAGTTTTAAAGTCCAAGGAAATTGTTTCCCTAGTCCCCTTTGGGGGAACAGATGCAACAGTCCACCTGTTTTTGTTACTTCACTATATTTCTATACTTCTGCAAAATATACCACCTCACCCACAAAAACAAAACCAACAAAATAAAATATAAAACAAACAAAACAAAATCAGAATAAATGATCAGGTGCAAAAATGCAACTAAGCACAATGGCAACAACTCTCACTCTCCAATCGCCTTCTGGAAAAATTGGTCTTCAACAGTTCCTGTGAACTGTGAACAAGAGCCTTCTTTTCATGGCCTTCAGATTGGGAGGCACCTGCTCAATACAGCCTAAGGAACCACTGATTCCTGCCTTGCCAGCTTCATTCCTTACTCAGCCAAACACAAATATAGCAGAGATTCCACACTCGAACCTAATTTGTTTCATTCATGAAATTATCTTAGGTGGTATGCTACTTTTTAAAATATGGTTGATCCATAAATACACTTTATTTTATTTATACAATTTATAGAGTCGTTTCCCCAAGATTCCCTACTCAGCAAACCATAGCCATGCTTCTCTGACATGGTTGAGAAAGGGTTTAGAGTTTAGATTACCAGCTTGATGAGAAAAAAAAAATCTGGGAAGTCATCCTATTCTGTACACAGCACGTAATGCCATTCTGAGGGTACGTCCTTTGCTCTAACAGCTGGAGAACAAGCTGAAGTTTAAACCACTAATTATCTCAGATCTAATAGCAGCAGAATTCAAGCAGTCCTTCTAGCTCCCAAACTTAGGAACAATACATTCATAACACTGAACCCTAACATATACCCAGAAAATACAATGAACTCAGTAGATATAAAGTAAATTAAAAAACAACAACAAATATTCCTATAACTTGTAACCTTCAAAACTCCTCATCCCAAACTTCCATTTTAACAATATCCCTTAGTTATTTGTTCATTTGTTTTCCTACACTGGTTCTACTGGTTTCTGAATTACATTTTATTTATTTATGAGACTGATATCCCACCTTTCCTCCAGAAGTTGAAGGCGGCATACACAGCACTCATCCCTCCCATTTTTTTCCCAACAACAGCAACCTTGTGAGTTAGGTTGGGCTGAGAGAGAGTGTCTGGCCCAAAATCACCAAATGAGGTTCCAGGGCTGAGGGTGAACTAAAACCCAGGTCTCCCTGCTCCTAATCCAACACCATAATCATACCACACTGGCCTTTTTCTTTTCTCTCTCTTGCAGAAAGTGGAAAGGTTTATACAGCACGTCCATCGAAAGACATTAGTGAAGAGGACAAAAGGGGTGTCATTATCAAAGAAAGTTTCTAGTATACATTCTTGAAGTATAACACCAATCCCAATGGGATCGCATTCTCCATCCTGCACCGTCTGCTTCACAGACATTCCTCTCCTTTGGCTTTGAGCTCCCCCCCCCCCCCCCCCCC